TACTTGCTTATTTAAATGTGGTATGATGTGCCATTTTGAGCGGATTTCATAGGAAATCTCCCCACTCCACGCTGGCTTTCTCACCACATCACCTGCCTAACCCACCTAACTCGCCTTCCCTTTTGTGCTGAGAATGGTGATCAGATTCTGTCATTGTGTTCCGCGGTTCTCGTCCCATAGTTCATATCAGAGTCTCCCTCTTGTCCCGTAGGATCCGTCTGCTATCTCCCTGGTTCAATTATTTCACTCGACCCCATCCACCCCATCTGTGTTCCAAGAGACGATATTTCCCACAATCTGCGTCTGCTAGACTAAGTTGAAGCTAAAGACCCCAAGTAATTCCAATGGTCAAGCCTTTGCTTCATGGACCACGTCTATGGTAAAACAGACCTACTTTCAGCCAACAAGCTCTAGTCTCCGACACATCTATCCTGTTTCTATCCGTAATACCAAGTATATTACCTCATATGTCCTAGTTTCTTGTATTTCAACCTAGAAATGTTGTTGTTCTATATGGAACCAAATCAAAACAAGTATAACCAAAACATTTGTGGGAGTTTCAAGGAGGTCCAGACATTTTCCTATATCACATTATTTGGTGGGATTGTCGATGAAGCAAAGTTATATTTACCATAACAATTAACTACATTACTTATTTTCATTTATAAGTAGGGTCTCGAGACTACAATTAAATCAAATATTGAAAATATAACTTTGCTTAATCGAAGGTATGAAGACCAAGAGGGTGTCCTTTTCTGTGGTCGCACACTACATCAAAATAAGCACGTTAAAATTGTAACAGTGGAGGCGTGATAGGTGGATATAGGAAATGTGAATAGCCCAGGGCAAAAGGAGAGATACCACAACCGTTTAGCACACGTTTGGTCAAAGGATCGGCTTCACTTGTCTCTTTGACTAGTTGTGTGTTGCTAAGATTAGCGAGACTCACTCAAAATGCCGACTACGATGCCGGTGAAACATCTGAGAATGTACCACGTCCACGGTCCTACTCTGGAAATGATCATGCATACAATGGACTCCGGAATATGTGCGTTCCTCTAAGTCTACCTACCAATATGACCAAGTTGCGAAAACAAGGTCAGACAACCTATATACCTTTGCTTCTTTAATTATATCACCGAATAATGTGATATAGGGACACATCTGGCCTTCTTTAGAATTAACATCTACTCTTTAACTCAAGGAAACTCGTGCAATATGGCGTGGTGGCTAAAATGTCGAGATTACACGCTGCTCTGTCATGGTTCGACTCATGCTGGCGGTGTCTATATATGCCTAGGCGAGGTCTAAACTGCAGTCCACCTTTGGTAAGAACACCTTTTGAGAAAGCAAGCCTATGTGAAATTCAATTAAAGCATCATCTCTACTCATAGCATTGTGGGGAATTTCAACTACTCGTCCTTCATCTTCTTAAACGAAATAAGGCTAATACATCTTATATAACGTTTTTAAAATTCAGGAATGCCTTTAGGCAAATTTTCTGGCTAATGGTTACCTCACCAAACTTTAAAGTTGTAAAAATTATTATTATACGAGCGATTCATGAGAAAAAAGCCATATAATTAAATTGCAGTTAATTCCAAACTCGTCCTCTCCCCTTCCATTTTTAAAGCCAGTTTAAAATTGTAGGAATAGCATAAAAAGAAATTAATATTAAAAAAGCAACATTTATTGACATTTCGGCCACCTTCATTCTCTGCAAATGTTCGCTCCAAATGGAATCTATAACCTATTTTGCATAGAAGTTGTTTAATATAACCCTAACTTAAAGCTTAACAAGAGACCATACGGTTAAAGTTCACTCAAAAAATCACCGATGAATTTTTATCAAGGATATGCCTAACTTTCATGTTTAATCTATCGATTCACGCAAATATTTATATCAAATACAATTTCATCAGTTGTGTGCATATATATGAGAATTTATAAATGTGTGACCTAAGTCAAATGTTTGTATTCGGGCAATTTTTGGATATCTTTTTATTTTGAGAAATTTAAGTCGGGAAATAAATAAAAATAGCTTACTTTGAAATTCAAATTGGTCAGTAGTTATGATCTTGGGTCTCCGCAGCACCCACAATGGGTATAAAAATCGAGTTTTCTGCATAATTGCAATATCTTACTACTTCACCACACAGTCATTTTTGGCGATTTTAGTCCTTATTAAAAAATTACTGATATTTTCAAAACATACATCGAAGATAAATAACTTTTTCAATTGCAAGTGCATCTACAGGCTTGCTTGCTCAACTAACTAAATTTAAATATAACATGGTATAGGACTGGCTTGACTCTGCCCCTGGTAAATATGTAGTAGTGGTAAAGTATCTCCACGATGCTCATAACCTGGTTGCTATTCCTGTTGGGGATGCTAGTGAAACCTAGACTGGGTCAAAACTGCAGTCCAGTCTAATTGTGAAAACCATTTAGGAGGCAAAGTTACGTTAAATTGATTGGTTTTATGAGGCCTACTCGTAGCATTGTAGTACTCACTCTTTTTAAATTACCTTTCAAGGCCTACTCATGTTATTGTGGGAAAGTTCAACTTCCAGTATTTAATAATCTTTAACGAAATAGTTTGAATACCTCCTTAACAGATTTGGTGTCAACACATACTACTGAAAATATGTTCCTATTTTGTGGTATCAACTAATCACTTGAATATTAATGATCTAAGTCACTGGAATATTCGCCCTTGACGTATTAGTGAAGATCTTTTTTGTCAAGTGACACAAATCTTGAATAAAAGAAAGTCTGAATGTGACACTATATTTATGACCAGCCTGCGAATAATTCTCGAAACATCTTACTTATAATTGGGCCTTAATTTGGAAGCAATCAACTTAAGTTGATTTGAAACTTGAGCATTATACACCCTATCATATTTTTGCAAAGCGTTGCTTGGCTGGTTACTTAACTATGCATCGAATCCCTCTGTTTAAGGGCGCAAAGGGCCTCAGCAAGAGTACCTCAGAATCAAAAACGGAAGATATATGCAAATATTTGATTAAGCAACCCACTCAACTCCGAACGTTAGCCTTTTTCACTTTTTTTGGTCCATTCAACGAAACCCCTCACTATGCATTTAAAAATAAAATTATTGTGACTTAAAATGAAAATAAGGTAAACAATGGTAATTTAATGATTATGTGATGGGTCGAGAGGGTAATAAGCCCAGTTTTCGTTACACATGGGCTCGCCTACCGAGTCCCCAAACGTCGAGTCTTCAAGCCCACGAAGACGGAGCGAATCAACTTGCCAAAAGAGGCTGGGTTCATTGGCTCAAGCCAATGGTCGAGGCAGTGGGAGAGATAGTGCGAATAGAGTGCACTCCTTGGCAGACTTACACCATCTGCAGCCTCATAGTTATCCAACAGCCATTGAACCTGCGGTGCAAATTTGTGAAAAACGGGAATTATGATACTTAGGAAAAGAGACTCGACACCAAGTTTAAATTGTTTGTATGACATTAATAAAAGCCTCTAAGTAGAAAGATGTATTTGACGTGTGCTCATTACAAAATTGTTTTTTGCCCAATGAAAGCAGTAAAAGCATATTTTGATAAGAAAGAGTTAGGGGCCAGAATTTGCAATAGAGTTTTATTTCCTAATTAAGCAAATCAAGATATTATGGAAGGTATGAAGACCAAGATGGTGTGGCCCTTTATGTGGTCGAAGTCTCCTTTCGTTGTATAGAGGTTGTTTGATCTTGTTTTCGCAACTTGGTCATATTGGTAAGAAGATTTAGAGGAACGCACCTAGTCCGGAATCCATCGTATGCATGATCATTTCCAGAGTAGGGCCGTGGAATTGGTACATTCCCAGATGCTTGGCCGGCATCGTAGTCAGCATCGTCAGTGAGTCTCCCTATTCTTAACACCACCCAACAACTCTTCAGAGACAATTTAAGCCGATCCTTTGACCAAATGTGTGCTAAACAGTTGTGGTATCTCCCCTTCTGCCCTGGGCTATTCACATTTCCTAAATCCTCCTATCACGCCTTCACTGTTACGATTTTTACCGTGCCTATTTCGATGTAATGTGGTGTGCTCCTTTGAGCGGCATTCATGAAAACCCTTCACACTCCACGCTGTCGTTCTCAACCCCTTCACCCTTGTGCTGGGAATGCTGATCAGAGTCTGCCATATTGTCACTCTGGAAATGATCATGCATACAATGGACTCCGGACTAGGTGCGTTCCTCTAAATCTTCTTACCAATATGACCAAGTTGCGAAGACAAGGTAAAACAACTTCTATACAGATATTACGAGTTTGAAATTCACCAGTTATATATTTACACAAAAAGACAGATAAATCATATTATTACTGGGACTTTCATTTTGTATGAAAATGTATGAAGAAAAGATTCGAAGGTCGATCTCACCAGAACAGGAAGGTTGAAACTCCTTGTACTGGAGCCGTGTGGCTTTTATAAAACGTTGAGATTGACACACACCACGAGACCTTCTTCCTCTCCCTTTGAATCTCTTCTTCATACAGTTTCATACGAACTGAAAGCCCCAGCACCAATGTTATCTCAGTGATTGCACTTATGGACTAGATCTAGACCCTCCAAGTTTTTCACTATTATCTTAATCATCACCTAGATGAACAGGTATTTTGAACCTTCAATTGAGAAACTGCATACTGAATCGACAGTAATACTCGTAGAATGTTCGATTTTATTTGAATTGTATGTGCGATTGGATTTTCAATTAAATATATTATAGAAGCAGGAAGTTTCCTTGCTACGCATTTGCATGAACCCATTGTCGAGACTTAATAATGGATGCAGGGATACTTTTTAGCTTTGGAATAAATACACTCTTTTCGCATGGAACTATTGGCCGACCGCATTCCAAAACGCTTCACCAGCCCAATTTTTTATTAGCCCATATCAACACCATTCTAAAACTTATGAACAGATAAATTTCTTTGACTAAAAATGAGTTCATTTGCAAATTATTTTGATAAGTTAAGACAGACTCGTCTTATCTCAACTGTAGAAGTAAAAATTCTATTAAGCTAAAGTTTCTTGCACACAGTTGGGTTACACTATTCAGCATATTTGCTGCCAAATGAAGGTGTCAGCAACATGTAAACGCAAGCACACACACACACATATATATATATATATACATAAATGAGATATATTCGCTCATTTTCGTTTAAGGTAATAAAGGACGAAGGACGAGGGCGAATAACGCCTCGAGTAGAACAGATGTGCTGGCAAGAGTCGAGTGAAATAGATGAACAAGGGGTAGAGCAAACCGATTTTACGGAGCAAGAGGGATACTGGGATAAGACTAGCAAAGAGGACTGTATAATAATAAGGCAGACTCTGAACAACACTCCCTGCCCAAGGATATGGGGGTGAGAACGAGAGTTGGAGAGTGAAAGTGTGATGTCGCTCAAAGGAGCACACCACACTATCTTAATAAATACGGTAAAAAACTGCAATAGTGAAGGCATGATAGGATGCAACCGGAAACGCGAATGACCAAGGGCATAAGGGGAGATACCATAATTGTTTAGCATACGTTTGGTCAAAGGATCGGCTTCACTTGTCTCTTTGACGAGTATTTGTATGGTGCTTAGGATGGCGATACTCACTGACGATGCCGACTACGATGCCAGCGAAACGTTTGGGAAT